AATTTTTTTATATAATTTTTACATGTTATTTAATAAATAAATACATTTAATATCACAAGTTTTAAATAAATAAAAAAAATTAATAATTTAAATGATACATAAAATTATAAAAAAATAATATAAAAATACTATTCTTATATTATTTTTCATTAAAAATGTTCAAAATATGCCATCTATGCAAACACAAACGAGAGATAACGGTTGCTGACGCAATCCCTCAGAGAATGGCTCTTTTGCCACCATTCGATGAGTTTAGGGGTTTAAACGCTTTAGTTTTTAGTAGAGGGGCTGATTTGCCACCATTTGAAGAGTATAGGAGCTGATTTGCCACCATTTGAAGAGTATAGGAGCTGATTTGCCCTTTTTGCCTCTTCCTATTGTCCATTTTTCCGTCGTTTTGATACGAAGGTGCTAAATGAGAGCATTGTACGATGGGCTTGATACCAAATTCCATATGAGATATTTTCTAGAACATTAAATAAATATATGTAGCTTGTCGAATTAAACCTTCAGATGCAATAGTTTGTCATCGAGTCTTAGTATTTGAATTTAATTAGTTAAAAATTTGACTTTTACTGATAACTTAAAAAAAATTTCTCATTACCCAAAATTCCCTGTGTTAAAAAAAAAAGAAGGTATATGTAGCTTGTTATAACCTAATTTTTTTATTAAATTTTTATTTTGAAATCTTAATTCAAAATATAAAAATGAAAAAATTATCAAAAATCACAAAAAAATATAGAAGTCAAAAACAAAGAAAAAATAAAAATATATGAAAATGATAACAAATTTTTTTTTTTGAAATTAATGCATATCAGTTTCAATTTTAAAAAAATTAGAATTATAACTTATATTTAAAAACTGAAATCCTAATTCAAAATTCAAGAATCCAATCAATTTTTAAATTTAAATATTAATATTTAATAAGATAAATTTTTAATTTTTAAATTAAGTTTTAATTAAATTAGAGTCTTAACTTATATTTATAAACTGAAATCCTAATTCAAAATTCAAAAATTCAATTAATTTTTAGATTTAAATAT